GTTTGAAATGCACAAATACCTCTTCCCTTTAAAATCCACTTTTTTTGAAAACTCCTTTAAACTTTCAAATCAAACCCAGCATTGTGATTTAAAAGCAATTTCCTTCAACACAGACTGGCTTCTTCAGGAGTTTTCTGCACTGCAGAGATGTGTGAGAGAGGGTTATTTCCCTGAGTGGGTGAAGGGAAGTGAAGGATAACATTGATTTCAAAGAAGGAACATATTTTACTGTATCTGCAGCTCCTTTATGAGACAATTTGCACTTTTAAAAACTGCTTTTTAACACTAATACTTTAACCCTTTCCAAATATGCATGGAACATGGTTTGTCCAGCACACTTACCTAGTGTGGATGAATTACGCTCTGTTGAACAGATTTGATATTCTATCATGTTGAACTGTTGGTGAAAGATGTGCATTGATCAGTGGATCCCACCGTTGAATAGTGGATAAAACTTCACTGAAGCAGACTTAATCCCTCGTAGAGCTTTTGAAAAGATAACATAAAGATTGTCTTCAAATGGGAAGATGAAGGTGTTAGTGACTTTGGTTGTTGACACTTCTGATATTTTCTAGAATAAGTAGTTGAGATGCAAATAATTAATGCTAACTTTTCTTATACTGGCAATCTAAGAAAAGAACTAGGGAGTTTGGTTTACTGTTAAGTTAAACCAAAAACTGGTCCAAGGTGAGTGTCGTTAGAAGAGTATAGCTATAAACTAGCAATGGCAGGGGAAGGAGTGTTTGCTGTAATTTTATTTTTAAGGGTTAACTGCACCAGTGTGCCTTCCCTTCCTGTTGGGGGTGCTTGGGACCTCATAATTTCAAGTGACATCCTTCAATGTCACTGTTTTTTTTCTCCCCCTTACAAACACTTGAGAGAAATAACAGGGTAGTAGGATTCAGCTTTTCTTTCTTCCCTGTTTAGGTTGTGGTGAAATCTGCTACATTTTCCAGTAGATTTTGCACACAGACTGTTCTGAATAAGTCAAAATACAATCCATCCAGTTGTGATTTCTTAATTGGAGGAAAAGAACATCTGCTGTTTGTATTATTACTACCAAAAAGGCAATCCAGCTAAATGTCCAGGAAAATGCAGATGTATTCCTTCCTCCGCTGTTTCTGGAAGCTAAGGTGGATATTGCCCTGCTTGACTAGAGGGTTTGTTCAGGAAGATATCTGGATTTGATGACGGCCTTTTCATGGTACTGTTGAAGTAAAATTAAGTATGATTCTAGGCAAACTGGCTTGTAATGCCCATCGGTCTTCATATGTGAACAGGATCCAAACAGCATTTAACCTGATAGAAAACACAGCCCTCGCTTCTGGTTTTGGTCCCTGTCCACATAATACGACCAGACTGTTGGAAATACGGTATCACTGTAACAAAGTGGAAACAGTTCAATGGAAATGAAAATACGGTTTAGATGTACATAGGTGCATGGGTAGGGCTGGGCTTTGCCTTTATGCCCTCTAACATGTAGCTGTCTATATATGCACTTGGGCTTTCCATTTGCTGCAGCTTCAGAGCAATAAAATACATCTCCCCTGAACTGTACCCAGCCAGCCGCCCATGGCTTTATTTATAAACTGCGGTTTTGGTTGGGTAGGAAAGGTGAGAGTGTCACTGTGCAACATCCACTGCCTTCCAAAAACCACGATTCAATTGAAAAGGGTGCTCAAAATTTTGTTATACACATTTCCTTTGTGTAAATAAATGTTTACAATTTTATATTAAAGATTTGAATAAGAGTTAGATCTTCTGACTGTATATTTTTTACTTTTTATAGATTTTAAAACTATAATTCTTTATATATGTGTTTGGGGGGGTATTATGGTAAGTTTTATGCTTGTAAATGGAGAACAGTTGAATTTGATGCTAACCTTTATGAATTTTTGTCATTGAAATGTATAAAGAGTCCATTAATCCCCTTATTCTTTTACTACAATTACTGGTGCACACCAAAAAGAAATCCTTCACTTCTGTTTTATCATTATAAAATAAATATTTTGCTAGTGTATTAAACATACATGGTGTGACTTAATACGTTTGTGTGAGTTGAGCAGAGTTCAGCATTGTTGTTTTCAGTGAGATGGTTCCCTTCATCCCAACACACAATTTTGGTCAGCCTGTTACTAAGGCTCAAGTTCTTCTGCTGTGTTTTACCAATTCTTACAGTTTCAGAAAGTCCATTTAAACAGGCCAGAAGTGGATAAAGAGGCCTTAGAGAACTTTTACTTTGAAAACAAGGCTTTATGCTATGCCCACTGCTTCTGGACTTTTTAAAATGCAGTTGTAGGCCTTAAGCTAGGAAATAGAACTGCAGTTGCGGTTGTTACTAGTGAAAAAGATGTTAATAACTACCGAGACCTCACAAGTGCAAAATTGTAGAGTTCCCAAAATACGCTCAGATTCCTTCAAAATAACAGGCCTTAGAGATTCAGACTGGTTTCCTTGAGACTTGTAAAAAGACAAAGATTATGTTTGTTTGAGATAGGCAGATGGCACACACCAAAAAAGCTCAAACAGAAATGAGGAACATGTACGGTAGGCATGAGGTAATGGTTCTGAGCAGGGAACAAAGTACTGGCAGCAGGTTGTGTGAAGACTTTGGCTTAACGCTGGTAAGGTCCCTCAGCCACTGCACGGAGCTGGTGTGTTGAACAAGCTGTGGAAAATAATGGCAAAATGGGTCTTTCAGCCCCTGCTGGATTGTTGAGCCTATTAAGAAGGACACTTACTCGTTTGTTGGTTAGAAGTAAAGCAACGATCTGTGGCTCCACCAGTGCCCAAAGGAGCCTAGCTTTAGTGGTGTGTGTTTGGATGTTAATATGTTCTTGTTAACAAGTTATTACTTGACGAATTACTCTGAATTGAACATTTCAAAGCAGTTCTCTTAGTGAATCATACCACTTGCAGCAGAACCAAGAATTCAGTTATTTATGTAGTATTTCCTGTTTGTCAAGTGTGCCTTTAACTGATGATATCTAGTCTTAAGTTCTAAACTTAACATCTCAAATCTCTCCAACCACAGATTTAGCAGTAGTGATAAACAAGAATTTGCAGTGTGACGCACACATTTCTTGCTAAGGCTGTATTAATTTTACACATTACTGTAATTTCAGGCATCCCCCTATGTAATAAGAATCTTAATCTGCTTCAAACACTGAAGGATCGTTCTCCAGGCATTGAAGTTGGTGTCTTATTATATGGCTATTGTGTTTAAGACCGCAGCTCAGAGCCATCAGATTTCCTCACAAAGTGCATCCTGATTTACCAGAATATAGTTTGAGTATATTCCTACTCTACAAGTTTTGAGTTGTGTTTGGGTTGGGGCGACAGACCTGTAACTTGAGAAGCTTATAAAGAACCAAATGCAGTGATAAGTAACAATACCAGGATGAGCTGCTTCTAGCCTATGGGAACTGTGAAATTATAACCTTAACTTTTGCTTTACTGTCCAGTTAAAAGTGCTGCATTGTATTTAATGTTGAGTAAAAGAGAAATTTCCTAAACTATCCCCCGGTGAAGTGACATGCATGTGCGTGTTTTTTCAAAGATTTTAAGGAGTCAGTGGCAGCTTGTGACAAGCCTCTGCTCAGAAAGTGATTTTTTTGTTTGGTTGGGTTTTTTTGTTTGATGTTAGTGTTTTTCCTAATGTAAACCTGTAATGGAAGTGCTTTCTAAAGCCTGAATTGTTTGTTGAAATGGTGTAAGCAGAAGTAGACTACGGGTGACATAACCCCTCTGACTTTTATATTGGACACCCGCAGATAAATCTTGGGTCACCAATAGATTTTTTTCAGTCTAGATCTGCTAGCAGCTTGGAGGGTCTAAAGTCACATCATATGAGCATTTTGCAGAGAAAGGGAGTGGGTTTGCTGTTTTACATTTATGGGGTTTTTTTAAAAAAGGGTGCAATTGTATATTTGAATTAATGAACTTTTCAACTTGATAAGCTGTCACGATGGGGTTTTGAGGTGATGAAGAGAGAGACCGGAAGAACAAGCTTGCTGCGTCTCACTCGGGAGAAACTGTAGGTCTGGTCACTTCTTGGTGTTGTGCAGAAATTCTGTGCAGAGGTTTTGTGTGTGTGACCATATGGAGAGAAATAAACCATTCCTGTCCCCTCTCTTCACCAAAATCAAGGTAAAACCTTCATTGATAATGAATGACACCTTTTTTCTCTTTTGGTTTTAAAAAGTTTAAAGTCAGAGTAGTCTTACCCATATAAAGTTGTTCCAAAACACAGGATAACTTTTTGAATTAATGCATATTTTGCTTTTGTGGAGCAGGGAGAAAAGTTATTCAGGGCTAAAATATTGCTGTTTTTCACATCTTACAATTATAATTCTGATGCCAGTGTAACATTTCTGAGAGTCTGCATGTTTCTACATTCCTCTGCTGCCTTCCATTCAGAACTGAGAAATTTTATTTTCTATGTTAGCCAGGAAAAGGTTTGTACTGCAGAATTTTAAAAACATTAGAAAACTACAAAAAGTGACTGAGTGCTAGAAAAGAATTGTACTCTTATTTGGTAAACTTACAGTATTAACAGGATAAAATATCTGAATGCTTTTTTAAAAATTCAGAATCCAGTAACAGAATTAAGTTACTCCAGCCGAAGTCTAGAAAATCTTTTATGTGGTCAACTCCACTACTTGGAATAAGAGCAGAAGGTCAGGTCATTAATTTCTAAATGCTTGTTAATTTTTACATCGCACACAATTTAGATGCTTTAGAGCTGATTAAAACTAGCAATAAAAGATCTGGAAAAAATGCTGTCTTCTTTCAACTGCCAGCAATATATAATTCAATCATGGTACGAAATCTGTAAAAGTAATTGCCAGAGTTTCACAGTTTGCACATACAAAACTTTGGCTGTTACGTAGTTCAGCAAGAGGCACCTGTCTGGAGTAGCTATTTTCTGATGGTTGGCTGCTTTGGAAAATTATGTGGCGTGGAGAGAGTTAAGGTGTGGTGGAGGAAGCGGCGTTGCTGCAGCGCAGCAAGAAAGCTCAGCTCAGCCCTGGAGCTGGCGGTAGTGGGAGAGGGGCTGGAGAGCAGCTGTACGCGTCACACCAGGCTGGGGTTTTGGTCCACAGTCAGCAACATGAGAAATGAGATAGACTTGCTGGCCACTGTCACAGTTCTGGGAGTCCTGGAGCAAGGTAAATGTCCTTTATATAATGCTAGGTACTATTAAGGTAATTATATTAAACTTCATGGGCCTTGGCTCCTTTATTTTGCTTGGAGTCTCTCTGGAATGAAAGTTGCTGTTTTCCAACATAGTGAAGTGATGTTTGGCCATTCACAGGGGGAGTGTCATGCCTGAGGAGGTTCATTATTTAGTGAGGATGAAAACGATTCACAAACCTCAAAGCTGGCATCCTAGAAGGAGATTAAAGTTTTATTTTTAAACTTAAACCTATTTCAACAATAGAATGTCTTTAAAATATTCTTTCCGATTGAATTTTAGCAGGTAGTTTGTAACTTAGGGGGTGGCTGGAGGTAGCCAAAATAAAGGCAGGTTAATAAATACGCTGATGAAGAGGTCAGTGTACAAACATACATCGTATATATATAGAAAAGACCATCATGTATACATGTATTTCTCCTCTGTGACCGATACCGTTATGTGTTCATAGAGCTTAGCTGCATGGAGCAGATGACAAGATGAGTTGACAGCACACAGTAATTTGGAAACTCATGAAAGCCCTTGTGGTCAGAAGTAGACAGAGACATCTTCAAAGAAACTCATCGACTTCTCATAATTTAAATAGGTGCATTTGGTTTAGACTTTTTAGAAAGAAGTAGTGTTGCCAAGATGTGTCTACTCTCCTGTTTAACTGTGGGGCCTTTGGGCAAAGGTCTGTCCCCCTTGGGCTTCAGGAGGGTCACGGAAGGGGACATTCCCCCTGCCTGGGGAAGGAATAGAGCCCTCATTCTTCACAGTTGTATGAGGGAAAGTTTGTTTGTGTTTTTTTTTAATTACTGAATGAATTCACCATAGAGCTATCGCACCTCTGTCTACAAATGGATATGAATCTCCGAGCAGCCTGATGTATTTTTAGCCATCAGATGATATATCTCTTAACATAAGTGTTATTTAAAGCACAGATATGCTACTTGAAAATTAGAGTTCAAAATTTCTGAATTATCAGTAATTTCCCCTCCAACAATTTACAGAGAAATATCTACAACTACAAATGGAAGATACTTTTTCTCTTATGAATTTTTGTGTTACTAAACTAAGTGAGGATGGACGGAGTGTTTAGTGTGCAAAGAGAACACCTGAAGAAAACTTGAAATTGTGTTATGGAAATGTTGCTAAGCCCTTTCCATTGGGAAACCCTCAGTAGCAAATCCTTAGATAGCAGATTTGTCTCAAAAATACTTGTTTTATGAGAGCTTCAAGTGTTTTTTTTAAAGGTTGCAGCCATGAAAAGAAAAGCTTTCATGCTATGCAAACCATACATAGGTGTGAAGCCAGCAGATGAGTAGCATGCATTGACACCCTCTTATCTGTGTTAGATTGGATAAAGTAGCCTTGTTTCATGGTCTGTGCATGGGAAGCCAAGGAGCAATTACAAAATACTATGTGTTTCTCTTCTCTCTACTAGTATGAAATGTGTGTGATAATGTCAATTTATTCAGAGCTGTGCAGTAGCTTTTCTTGCATATTTTGAAAGGACATTCTGTAGGTGATTTCCAGACCTGAGATTCATTCTGAAAATGCAGAGCACCGAACCACGGGTGTGCACTGTATATACAAATACTCTTCCATCGCATCCTGATTCAGGAGGTGTAATTTAATTGATTTCAATTGGCTGATCTTAATACAGTGTTGGTTGATATTTTTTTCTTTTTTTTTTTTTCTTATTTTACTGGGAGCCCACACTTTACTCATTCTTTCAAGTAACTTCCCCCTTTTTAATTTAGTTAAGCTCAGTTTAGCAAGGTTCTGAGCTCAGTGATCTGTAGATACATGCCCCTGCCCTGTGTTGAATGCTGCACCAGAGAACAGAACAATGCTACCAGTTTCCCCGCTTTCCCTCTGCCTCCCTCCCCTTTTTTTTTTTTTTTAAATGGTTTCAAAGGAACTAAAGCTTATGCAATGTCACTGTCTGTCAGTCCCAAAAGAGCTTGTTTGCCAGGTTCGTTCGAATGTGGCAGATATCAGCTATAATAGGGTTTGACAAGTTTGTGCACATAATCAAATAGAGGATGAAGGTCTGGCTGATATTTCCACTGAGGAGCAAAGTGCAGGGAGAGCTCAGCCCCTGTGAGCTATGTGAGAATCAACAGGTGCTTATCCTTAAGACATGAATCACAAAAAATTGTTCTGAATCATTCTGCAGAGTAGATTGAACTCTTTTCCCTAAAAGTCCATGCTGAGAAGGCTTGTGCAGGGTGCTTTTTTTCAACATCTTATTCTGAGAAGTGCTTTTGGAGGGTGACTGCATCCTTTGTACTTCACCTGTATGCCAGTTTGGAGGAGGGCTAGCTGTCCTCCAAAAGGCTCTTGCTCCTCCTGGGTGGTTGTTTCATATGTTATCCATCCCTAGGCATTAGTGACCTGTTGCAGGACTTGTCTGAATATTTGCCCCAGTACACAAGCAAGATGTTACACACAGAGTTGATGGAGGGGGTGGGTCTGAAGTTCTTGCTAGTGTTCCTCAGCCACAATAATGCTGTAAGGAGGGGTGCAGATGGCACGAATTAGGATGAAGACTGTTGCTCAACAGTGTCAGGCTTATGCCACAAGCCAGACCTGTGCACGATGCAGTAACTTTAGCTCAGTCCATTTATTGAGAGGTGTCTGGGGATGAGACCCTGAGAGCATTAATTGTGTAGGAGAGACATGCTTATCTGAGGTGAAGAAGAGGTATCAGGCTGGGTCATGGTTTCATCATTGTTTTTTCCAGAGCACTGCTAGCCACTGATGAATTGTCAGTTAAGCATCACTGCAGACCCAGCAGTTTGGTTTCACAGCGAGGATGCTGTGTTGCATCCGCCCAGATCTCAGGGCCAGAACGATATCCTTGCCCTCGACCATATCAACGTGCTACATGCGAATCAGAGGAAAAAAGCAAACTTGTTCCTCCTTACCTTTCTGTCCCAGCACCTCTTGTTTGGGGCTGGGTCACTGCACACACTGTGGAGGACACTGGAACACACAAATATTTTCTTAAATGAATGTCTGTGTATTTAAATGAATAATATGCCGTGTAATACACACATCACATAACATCAGATTATTTAAATTTCTAATTCCCTTCTACATGTGTTGTAATGCTCTTCTGCAGGCACACATGGATCTGTTTTTAATCTGTCTTTCATCTTGCAACATCTGCCCCTACTTTCCCTTCTCTATCCTGCTGTTCTGCTTTTATCTTCTTTGTTAGAATAAGACAGTCCACAAGGCAGTCCTTGCAGCCTGTCTCCTTGTCTCCGTTCAATGCTCTGGAAATGTTCCTACATTAGGACCTTGCTAATACAAGTGACTTCCTTAGCAGCATGCTGCCACAGCCACAAAAGTAATTGTTTTTATAATGTAGCTTTCTCCTATAGGAAAATTTTAATTTTTGATAAAGGCAGCAATGTAATACTGCACCTAAATATGAACACTTGAAATATCAGCAATCACCCATGGGTGTAAGAACTTTCATCAAACAGTGAAACAGTCCAAGTCTTCATGTTAACAAGTTTTCATCATTTTGAAGTGATTTCCATGTTCCTTACAAATGTACAAGGGAGTGATGTAGCAGACACTGAGTTAGTACCTCGGCCCAAACTTGGCACAGGCTGATAGCAGTCGTTGGCAGCACGCCTGCTCCTTGAACTGCTCGAGACTTGGGGCTACCCTGCAGGGATGAAGTGGAAGAAATAACCACCCCCTTCCCCATTTCCTTCTATTGACATGATTAATGGACTTAATCATACCCCAGTGCTGCAGAGTCTGGATGCTGCTCTGTGGCATGGGGCCATCCTTGTATAAAAGCTTTGTACCTGCCAGGTAGAACAGAAAGAGTTGCACATCATTCCCATCAGACTGGCTGAGGGTGTACTAATACTCAACACACAGTGCAAGAGTAAATAAGAAGAATAATTTTGTGATTGGGTGTGGATTCAGTTATGTTTTGGTGTGTCGCCAGCCTTGTGCAGTACCAGGATCTGCTGGGGATCGCTGAGGGCTCCACAGCTGTGCATGAGGGTATGCAAAGCACCAGCCAGCACCTCGGTTCTGCGGCACAGGTGCTCTGCCAGCATAACCAAATCTGAATTTAACGTACGAGCGTGAAATAAATGGCACTTTTATTCCAGGTTGTACGTGACAGCCCTGGACTAAGAACCTAGACAGGATCAGCTCTAACCACTTGCTTGATTCCAGGCTAGATAAAGCTTGACTAAAAACACTGCTGGACTGTTACCATTCCTGTATTGTTCTTTTTTTAGCCTATTTTGCACTGCAGGTGATCTATGCCCGGCGGAAGTACAAGATCTCCCCTCCCGAGACAACAGGTCACCCTGAATTTGACCGGATCTTCAGAGCTCAGTAAGATTTTAACTTTTTTGCGGTGACTCCATCCAGGTATGACTTGACTCAAGTGTTACTACCAGGAAAGACTGAAGTCACCCTCAAGTCACCTTTTCACTTATTGCTACTGATACTAGTTTTTTTTTTGTTTTTTTTTTTTTTTTAATGCTCTGCATCGGAGGTCTGAGTTTTGATTTGCAGCACTTTGCTCTGGCTGGAGTGTTTCTGTCCATCCACAATAATCCTCCTTCTGGCATTGTGAAAGGCAGCCAAATTACAAATTAGTAGATGTATGGAAGGGAAGAGGTGCTGAGTTTTAATGCATTATAATAATTAACTTTGATATTAACGTTGGGTCCAAATTGTGAAAGTAGCTGAAGCTACATTAATAGCAATATTTGTTTGTAAGTTTTTGCCATTGAATTGAAGGAAAGGATCTTGCTGGTGGAACCAGCTACAAGGATCTTCTAATTTTTTTCCTTTTTTTTAGCTATTGTGCTATGAAAGTCAGCACTTGCAGGCTCCTGCTGAGGGCTGTTTATTTTTGCTCTCTTCCTATGGAGAGAGCAATGCTGGAGCTAAACTGGAAATGTCCACAGATCCCTTTGGCTTCTAGCAAACACCAGATCCCATCTTTCATCTCAGTCATTCTGTTTCATAAGTGGTAGAAAGGAATCGGCTAGAGCTGGTTTGAAGGGTAGTTCTAGCATGGCATTAAATCCTGAACAAAGCAGCTGCGTTTCCTTGCCAGCGTGCAGGAAACATTTGTGGAGTGACAAAAACACCCGCTTTGGTCCTTTTGCAATACAGTGAAAGGCCAGCCCACATGGGAGGCATCAGCCTTCACTAGCTGGGTAGCTGCTGATGTGGCTTTTAATTAAATACTGGGCTGTGCATTAACTGAGTTGTGCTGTGGGCTGCGACACGCCAGGAAGCCCTCCACTATATTCTGCGGAGAAGGCAGCCTCACCGAACTCGGGTTTGAGAAGGTATTTCTTCCTTGTGTTTTTTTTATCCTCTCCTTTATTCTTTTCCCTGTGGAAAAGCATAAAAATGTATAATTTGTTTTGATATGTTAAAAACAAAAGAGGGGAAAAAGGTATTGATTTCTTATTCATGGAAACCTGGCAGCCTCCCCTTGCTGAGGCTCAAACTGCATTTGCAGTGTAAGGCTCTTCAGACTTTTTCCGATTCCCAGCCTGGCTCCATTCCCTGAGGCTTGGTAAATTTTTGGCCAAATTTAAGATTAAATTATGTAGGGAAAGGTAAATAGTAGAAGAAATTGAGAAACAAACCCACTGTCTTTAATAGCACTGCTCGCACTGTCTTTTCTTGCAGAAAACCTGTATTTTTGTCACTAAAAGTAAAAAGAAGAAAACCTGGCTGCAGTTCTGATCTCCTCCTGCTGAATTTGATCCGGGAGAAGGCTCTTTCTTGGAGCATGACTTGTGTGACACCCAAATTTGGGCTGTGCTCAGCCAAGGGGAAGAGCAAGCTCCTTAATGATAAGAAACCTCTACCTGTGCAACTTTTAAGCTGTAGCTGCACTAGATGTCTGTGAAGGTGCTGTGTGTGGGGCCGAGGACGGAGCCTGGTGAGGGTCCAGCAAAGACAAATCTCCCTCTCAGCCAGAGCTTGTTGTTGCAGGGTCCATGCGAATGTGGGTGAGGTGAACACTGCGTTGTTTGCATGCTTTTCTTCTCTAAAATACAGATAATGGTGTGTCATGGAAAAGGCCCTTTCTCCCCAGCACAGCACTGTCTCTTACTGGCCCTTTCAGTTTGATTTGATGTGCATTTCCAGCTCACCTTGCTGGCTTCAGTTAACTGGTCTCTGATGTATGAGGATGCGGTTTTAACCCTCATCTCTGGTTCTCACCAGGGCAAATTGCTCAGAGTACTTCCCGATCTTCATCTCGCTCCTCTGGGTTGCTGGAATCTTCTTCCATCAAGGTAAGGGGGCTGAGGGGGAAACCCAACCCAAACCACATGCACAAAACAAATAAACAAACAAACAAACCCCAATTTAAATCCCACTGCAACTGAGCCATGCCCTCTCTATACCTGTGAGGCTCTTACTTGGGGACAGCAAAATTCCCCTTTGGCGGGACAGACCAAGGAGCACCACAGCTCCGGTGCGCACAAAGCCACTGGTAGCAGGCGAGCTAGTCTGGGGCCCAGAGGAGAGGTTTGGTGGCATCGTCAGCCCTCGCTCCTTCACCGGAGCCTGGCTGTCCCCCCTGCACTGTTTCTCTAAGATAAGGTCAAGCTGGCACGTGATGCCAGGGTGGCAGCAAGCTGAAGCAGAGCTGCAACACGATACCCAAATCGCGTCAGAAGGAGAAACCATAACCCAAACAATTAGTCATCCACTGTCCATCCTGTACCAAGCGGGTTTTGGGGATTTGGCTGCTGCCACAGAGAAGATGCAATGAAGGACCACGGAAAGGAGCATTGAAAACCCAAGTCCCAGGGCAGCTTTGGAGGGCACAGAAGTTCATCCCTCACAAAAAGGGAAGAAAGAAAACCTGTTTAAACTCCCACAGCGTTGTAAAGCCGAGCCCCTCTGCATTTGGTTCTTGTGGCCCTGCCCCATCTGCAGCAGGAAGAGGGAACGTGGGTGACCGAGCTGGGCTGCAGCTCCGGCATCGTCTGAGGAGCCCCGGCCCCATCAGGACTCGGGTCCCCTCTTCCCCGCAGGTGTGGCTGCAGTGTGTGGGCTGCTCTACCTCTACACCCGCTTCAAGTACTTCCAGGGATACACCGTGGCTACGCAGGGACGGTTAGTACCCAGCTGGGGCTGTGGGCACCCCAAACCAACCCAGGGAGGCTGGGTGGAAGATGCAGCCCCTGGGACAGGTTTCCTTTCCACGGGTGGGACAGAAGGCAGATTGGCATCGCCTCCTCCTCCTCCCCTCATGTTCTCATGGCCATGCTACCTCTTCTCTGGCTCAGTCTGGAAGGAAGGTGGGGGGTACCAAGCCCTGCCAGCACACTTCGTGCTGCGGGTTGGCTGACAGTGTTTTTCTCCCCGCACAGGTTGGGGCCGCTGTACGCCAGCGCCCGGCTGCTGTGGGTGCTGCTGGGGCTGGCGGTGGCCGGGCTGCTGGCACACTTCTTGCTGCCCCACTCCTCAGGGTGGGCAGCACCGCTGGCATGGCCCTTCCAGCTGCTCGGCACCTGGTGAGAGGGGCCGTGGCCCTCCCAAAACCCACTGGTCAGCCTCAGCGGAGGGGAGGGAGTTGTGCAGCGTGGTCAGAGACCAAGTACCTCCCCAGCTCCGTGCTTACCTTTGAAGGGAGGCAGATGCTGGCACTCCTCTGCTCATGAAGCTCCACTCTCCAGAGATAATTTCCCTTCTAGAAAGCAAACGGTGCCCAGTCTCTACCCCTGCTGCTGGGCTTCACTGCCAGGTTTTGTAGCACTGTCTGCTCTAAAACCTGTAACACCTTTGGCTCTGCCATTCGGAGCATGGATTGACCCATACGCTGTTGTCACTCCTTTCTGCTGTAATGGTCTATGCTGAAGGATCACACCATGGATATACAAAAAATAAATTCCTTTTCTCAGTAGAAATGACCTGTGATTGTCAAAGGTGCTTGGGGACTGGGTGTGAGAACATCTGAGGGTTAGGGGACTGGGTTGCATGGGAAAAGCTGCTGCGATTAAAACTAACTTGAAAGGAGAGGTAAACTTGTCTAAAACTGTATCCAAATTTTGAGAAAAAAGCCTGACTCTAATCCAAATGCTAACATCTGTGTTTGGTATTGACCTGAATGACCTTGACTTGGCCCTGACTTCACTTATCACCCACCCACCAGTAGGACTCTGACCTCTCGCTGGATTTCAACCTCCACTGGAAATTCGAGGTTTGCCAGTAACTAAAGCAGGCAGCTCCTTGCTAATTTGTACATGGGTATTAAGAAAAAAAAAACAACAACATGTATTTTTTTAAGACAAAGAACTGGTCCACAATTGCACCCTCAGGTGTACAGGTGCCCAAGTGCTGCCTTTGCTCCCTTCTGAGGAAAGACCTGAACAACCCTTCCTTTTTTTTTTTAATACCTGGCAAAGGTTCCTGTGGCACTGGGGCAAAAATTACCAGTTTCCCACTGGGCTGCTCTAAGTGCTCTCCCCAGCTTGAGCAATGCTTTGGGAGTATCAGGCACTGGTGAGTGCTGAGGAATGACTCCATTTCAGGTGTAGGGGCTACAGCAGGTCCCTGCCCCCAGGGATGCACACCCTTCCTGGGGGGGGGACAGGCGGGCAGAGCAAGTGCCTTCCTGCTGTGAGTGACTCTCACTGCCACACCAAAGGTTTAAATTTAGCTTTTATTACAGTGCACATTATTTTATATATTTATATATAGAGATGTACTTGAAAAATCAAATGTATCCAATAATAAAAAATACAGCACATTAAAGTAGTATAATGCATTCCAGTGTATAGCTGAAAAGACATTGGGATTTACACTAATCCCTACTATTTTTGAACTGGGCTACTTCTGCTTTTTTTTTTTTTTTTTTCCTTCCAAAAAGGTCACACCAATCAATAACTGAAATAGTTATTTAAAAAGATGGTTTCTGCACTCAATCTCAAGGCATGAAGACACTGGAGACTTCACTGTGAGTTAAGGGGCTGTGTTCAATGCTGGCAGGCACAGTGTGGCATATTTTATTTTTTTTGTTTTCCCTGCCATACTCATAGCTCCAACCCCTTCGGATTTGTTCCTCCTCTGCTAAAGGAGGGTCAGTCTTCACCCTCATTTAATCCTCAGCTGTGGCCAGGACTGTTGCCTGGGCGAAGTCAAGGCAGACCTCGGTCCCTGGCTGTCTCCATCCCGGCACGCGCGCAGGGTCAGCCGGCAGGACTCAAGGTGACCAAATCCCACCTCTGTCCCCAAATACAGCCAGAGATTGCCCTGTCCTGGGCTTAAAGGTGCTTTTTGTCCCCACGCTTGCTAAAGCTCATCCCGTCCCCAAACTGTCCCCTGTGTCAGTGCGGCCCGAGCGGCACGCACAGCAGCCCGCACCCACCAGGGCCGAGGGGAGCAAAGCCAGCCCTCCGCAGGGGATATTGGTTTTTGCCTTTTTTTGCTCTTCTTCTGGAGAAGACGACGTCCTGGCCCTGCAGCACCAGCTGGGGATGGTGGTGCTGGCCTGGCGGCGGCTTTGCCGAGGCCTGTGGGCATGGGCCACCTCCCGGCAGCCGGGCCTGTGAGGTCCTTGTCCCGGGCGAGGCGCCGCGGGGAGGAGGGAGCGGGAGGGGAGGGAGCAGGACCAGGGATCCACGCGTGTGTCCACCCTTCCTCACGCCCGTTTCACTCCACTTTTTTGATAAAAATCTGCAAGAAGGGAGGGCTGGGATCAGAGAGGAGCGGTGGGGAGGCGGTGGGGAGCCCCGGGCTGAGCAGGGCTGTCCCTCTGCTGACAAAGCCCAGCTTACCTCGCTCAAGATGATCCATACCGGGGAGTCGGTCTGGATGGACAGCCTGATGGCCTCCAGTGGCCCAAAGGACGGGTCCACCTCGCCCTCTGCGACGCCCTTGGAGAAGGAACCTGGTGGGGAGAACATGTGGGTGACGCGGGATGGTCCCCCAGCTCCTGGGGGACCGCGGCAGCCATGGCAGCCTCCTGCTCGCAGCTCCCGGACACCAAGGCGGGCCAAAAACCTGCGGCATGGATGTCAATACAGTGCAAAATGCTACACTTAGGGCAACAGAAAAAAATCAGTGAAACAAAACAAAATGCAGAGTGTTTGGGTATATAGCACTGCTGTGCGAAGCCGGGGGCAGAGCGGCCTGACAGCAGCACTGTCCTGTAAGACACAAGTGTCGGTTCGGGTTTCACGCCATGGAGGCAAGTCTTACATCCATAGTGCTAGATTTTTTGTTTTGAAAATGCAACTGGGAGAAACCAGAGAGCATGCAGAAGAATGCTAAAATGGCAAAAAGCTATGCATGCTAGTGAATTTTTCTTTTATTTATCTATTTGAAAAAAAAAAAAAAGTTTTAGCAGGGACACCAGGGCTTTACCATACACCAGCAGGTCTCTCTAGGCTGAAACCACTCATTCTTGTCCAAGGGCAGGACAAGCACTGAAACAAGTTCAGGTGGCCTGAGACAAAGTCCAGCTGCAAGTGAGTACCAAGACAGGCCGTGGAAGGAGAGCACGAAATCGCCCATGGTAGAGGTTTTTAACACCAGGTTTGGCAAATGGATAATCTGAATAATTTGGTCCCAGCTCTGAGCAGAGACAGGCAGAAATGTAGGACTGAAAACTACCTGAAGAGGACACCTAGTCTAAGAGAGGAGGGCAGACAGTGGAGGAGAGGAGATAGTGACAAATCCTGTTCCAACCTGGCTCCTGGCAAGCAGAAATTATTCTCTGCCAGGCAAACAGCACTAAGGGTTTTGATTCACTAGAAGGTGAGGATATGGGCTGTGTTATCAAACCCAGTGGGCAGTTTGCCACCCTGCACCCTGCTGTACCTATCTGGATGTAGCCATCCGGCGTCCTGCGGTATCTGACAACTGCACCTCTTCCCTCCTGCAAGGCCTCCTTATCCAACTGCAGGCTCTGTGGGAAGGAGAGGAGCTTTGTGCAAGGCCAGTGGTAAAAGCTGTGCAAAAGCCCCAAGCAACAGCAGCAACCCTGGAGCTGCCCTCTCCAGCAGCCCTTGGCACCTCATCCCCCCAGCCTGGCACCCTGAGCCTCACGCCCCAAAATGAGGATATTTGCTGCCCTCATGCTGCTGTTTCCACTGCACCATCCTAACTCCATCCTCTCTTCTGCAGCCATCCCACCCATGCGAGCATCCCCTCTGCAGGCTCCTACAGGAACTGCTCAGCACAGCATCCCCACTCCCAAGGTGGTACCACACCAGGCATGACACCCCGACTCCCAGCCAGCACCTCTAAAAGGCACTTGGGTCTTGTAAAGATTCTCCCGATGGCTTTAAGCAGTTCCATTCTCTCAAACCTCTATTGCTTCCCACTCCACCCCCATCCCAATTCTCAATAAAACACTTACGTCAAATGGCAGAACCTCCACAGTCGTATTGAAGAGTTTGTCTTCTGGGTGCTCAATGTTCCCGCTGCGGAAGAAGAACCTGTGACAGAGACCAAAGCCATAGAAACCTGCACTGAGTGAGGGGGGACATGATGGCTTTCATTACAGCGGAACTATCAAACAGCTCAACGTAACAGGTACCTTCTTAAAAAGTCCACAGGTACATGGGTTGGAAGGAGACCTTCTGTGCCAGATTAGCTATATCATGGATCTCTCACAAGTTCAGGAAAGCAAAGGGCTACAGCAAATACGGCCCCACCAAAAAAGGGTCAAGTCACCCTCCCCCTGGTAGAGCACAGCTCCCTCCTCCTGGGCAGCCAAGCAGGAGATGGGCAAGAAATTCAACATGAGCCAGAAGAGCAAAAGGAAAGTGTCACCGCGTGCTCCAAGGTGTTCCCATCCCTCCCCCTGCTGAGCCCCCAAGCACTGGCCTTTCGATGCGGAGCGGTTTGAAGAATCTGAATCTGATGAAGTCCCCGGCAGTGGGAGTGAAAGCCCAGAAGAAGTCCTCCCGCAGGTAAGCCTTCTCCAAGGTGAAGTGCTGGTAGGTTTTCAGGCTGGTGCTCACCTCCGCAGGAGGGTTGACGTGCTCTTTCCGCAAGGCCTGCTTGCCAAAGTCCTTGTCCTTGGTGGGTACAAAGCAAAAGGGCAGAAAAGGGTCATGAGCTGCTCTTGCTCGTGAGGAACAGGGATCCCAGCAACAAGGCACCGCAAATTAAAAATTCTAGATTTGCATGGCACAGAAGGATGAGGGATGGAGGTGATCTGGGGAAGGGAGACAGGGCAATGCATGGCTGGATCCCAGGAAGAGACAACTTCAGGAGAGGCAACACAGAGGAGCACCACTGCTCTGCACTCTGATCCAGCACCAAAGAGCCTTTCATTGTCCAAGTGTCCCCAAATGCGTGTCTCTGCAAACAGTCCTTACACCTGAAGAGAAGGTGGCTGGGAGGCTGACGATAGCCTAAAATAACTGGATTACACAGCCTGACAGGCACTGCACTGTGACAGAAACTGGATTACACCATCCATTTACCTGGGGATCGGACAGATGCAGGACAGAGCACAACCCTGGGATGCGTGTCTACGGGTCCTGCACATATAGCTATGGGAAGCTTGATTTTGTTGATGTTTAAATACACACACAAACAATTTAAGCTCTCACACAGCAAGCTCTAGTTCGCCTATCAGTAAATCCCAGGAAAAAGGAGCAGGTGGGAAGGAAGTCAGATCACCCCAGGAGACACCTTTCCAGGGTTTTTCACTAGGTGTTCCCAAATCACTTGCCCTGACCATGGTTCGGCACTTGGGATGGGCAGTCAGGACCAGTACCAAGGCTTAAAATCTTGCAGCAACTCTTGGAACATGTCACTGTTATTCTGAGAAGTAGGACCTACATGAGCTCACTGTAATTCAGAATAAAACACAACCACTGCACAGAAATCCAGCTGCCACCATCCCACCAGTTGCTGTCACTGATATCCCCACCTCGAAAGCAGCCAGTTCCCGGGTGCCTGCAGGCCAGGCCTGGCAGAAAGGTCATCTGTGGCTGGGACAGGCAGCTGGTACCCACCTTCAGCTTCTGTATCTTCCCAGCCAGGGAGGAGTGGGTTCCCACATGCTGGAAGAGCGAGGGCTTGAAGCGGATCCTCAGGTTTGCCTTCTGCCTGTCACAGTGTTTCTGAAACGAGATGATCCCGCAGATCCCCACGGTTAAACCTCTGTGGTCAACTGTGACCCGCAAGAGGAACAGAAAAGGGCATGAGGAGTGGTAAACATCCCTGCCCCTTCATCTCCATGCCTTTCTGTGTTATTTTGGCTTTAATTTGGCAAGAGGGCTTTTAACCACACTCTGGAGGAACGTGACAGTGAGTCTTGGCCACTCACCCATCAGGCTCCACTGGGCAGCTGGAGTGCCCAGGTTCAAGTGCCAAATTTCTCCTTGACAAGCATAGCTTAGCAAACACTGAGCAAATCTCCTTTGTGCTGTCAGGTAGGGACAGCCAGAGAATTTAGTTCCTTTTGTCCTTGGCTTATTGAGAAAGCCTCTTTCCTACAACTCAGAGCTTGGGACCACCAAAATCTGAAGGTAGAGTAAGTCCTGGGATGACTCAGAGCCTAAGTGAACAGGTAGCAAGTGCGGGCTCTTTTCAGACAGGCAGAGTTTTCAGTTTGTTGGCAGGTGTTGTTAAGCAGATATATGGCACATGCCAGTGTCAAAGCTGTTTGGCTCATCCCACCACATAAATAAACTTGGAGATGCCACTCTGATCCAGGCAGTGATTTTCAGGGGGGTGGAGGGAGAGAGACGATGGAGAAGGAATAAAGGACAAAGGGGAAAAACACTGAGAGTGTCGAGACAAGAATTTACATTTTAAAAATAGTTAATTTCTCTCAGTTTGGGGGAGCATGACAAAAATACAGTGTTAAAAACTGGAGGGAGAGGGTATTTGTTTTCCGA